TCTGGGACAATTCCTCAGATTTCTCACCTAGAAAGACTGGCTCGGGTTTGGGAGTCTCCCCAACATCCTCAGCCGTGAGAACCGATGCGAAGGATTCATTTCGTTTCTCCACAACGACCTCATCGGCCTTGAGTGCTCCTTTGCCGTCTCGATCGTCCAGGGGCCCACTGGCTCTTCAGCCGGCTTCCTGCCTCGGATGGTCTGCTCTGTTTGTGTGGATTTGGCGGGCTGCACTTCAAATTCTCCTGCGGTCCTGCCTCGCTCTCCCTGGCCCCGACTCACCAGAATACACGCTCTCCTCTGGGCCGCAGCAGAGTCCCACTTCCCCTTTCGAAAGCAGGCCGTTTGCTTCCCTCTAACTGACTTTCCCTTGGCTGTGTAGCAGGGGTGGGGGATGGGACTTAAGCTCAAATTGTAAAGATGGGGCCATTCTCACAGAAAGGTTTGAAAGTTTCCACGCGGCTACCAGTCATTCACACTTCTGCCTGCTCCTCGGCCTTTCAGTTTCACTCGCCGCCTTGTGAGTTGAGCTCCCCTTGCAGGAGTTCAGTGCTGATGTGGAGTTCCCCTCCCACCCAAGGGTGTTGCACCGAATTATATTATGTTCTCTGGGTTCTCTCCCCAGCTGTGGGAAAGGAGGGGACTCCAGAGGCCAGAGCAGAGCAGGGGGTGGGGAGGAAGGACTCCTAGATTCTCCGGCAGCCAGTCCCAGTTGGAAATGGGGCGATCAAGAGCGGAGTGGGGGGAGCTACGTGGGGAAACAGAGAGAAGGGATTCAGCAGAGAAAGGAGCCTGGGGCTGAGAGCCTAGGGGAGGCATCGGGGCAGGGCTGGTGTAAGGGGATGGTTAGGGAATGGGAATGGCTGGGGATAAGGGCGGGGTTTGGGGCTAAGGAGAGGGCTTGCAGTTTGCAGAGCGGGGTGATGGAGCTTCCGTGCCTCGGGAGAGTGGAAGGAGCCGGGACGGAGGGGAGGGGTTTAGAATCAGAACCACAGGTCCTACCATGAGGGCAGGGCCTGGACCTGACCTGTCAAGGTCCCTTCCGGTTCTCGGGTTCCCTGATTCTATTCTTCTAAGCGGAAGGAACCTCCAGAGGTCATCAAGCCCCATCGAGACCAGCCCTGGCAGGCACCTGTTCAACCGGCTCTTAAATATCTCCAGGGATGGGGATTCCACAACCCCCCGGGCAATTGAGTCCAGTGTTGAACCACCCCGACAGGCAGGAAGTTTTTCCTAGTGTCCAACCTCAACCTCCCTTGCTGCAGTTGAAGCCCATTGCTCCTTGTCCTGTCCTCAGAGGCCAAGGGGAACAATTTTTCTCCCTCCATCTTGTGACACCCTTTTAGATACCTGAAAACGGCTCTCATGTCCCCTCTGTCTTCTCCTTTCCAAACTAAACAAGCCCAGTTCCTTCAGCCTCCCCTCATAGCTCATGTTCTCTAGACCTTTCATCACTTTCATAGTTTTTCTCTGGACTTTCTCGAATTTTCCCACATCTTCCTTGAAATGTGGTGCCCAGAACTGGACCCAATACTCCAACTGAGGCCTGGTCAGCACAGGGTACAGCGGAAGAATGACTTGTCGTGTCTTGCTCACAACACTCCTGACAATACATCTCAGAATGAGGTTTGCTTTTTTTGCAACAGCGTCACACTATTGACTCACATTTAGCTTGTGATCCACGATGGCCCCGATATTCATTTCTGCAATCCTCCTTCCTAGGCAGTCACTTCCCATTCTGTGTGTGTGAAACTGCTTGTTCTTTCCTCAGTGCTTAGCATTCGGCCTTATTGAAACTGATCCTATTTATCTCCGACCAATTATCCAGTTTGTCTGGATCGTTTTGAATTACATTCCCAACCTCCACAGCACTCGCAACCCCTCCCAGCTTGATACTGTCCACAAACTTAACAAGTGTCCTCTCTATGCCATCATCTAAATCATGGAGGAAGATATTGAGCAGAACCGGTCCCAGAACAGACCCATGCGGAGCCCTCTTGTTCTGCCCTTCCAGCATGACTGTGAACCGTTAATAACTCCTCTCTGGGATCAGTTATCCAGCCAGTTCTGCACCTGCCTTATAGCAGCTCCATCTAGGTTGTCTTTACCTAGTTTATTGATAGGAAGGCCATGCAAGACTGTATCAAATGCCTTACTGAAGTCTAGCTATACCACGGCCACCACTTCTCCCTCATCCACAAGGCTTGTTACCCTGTCAAAGAAAGCTATCAGTTGGTCTGACGTGATTTGTTCTTTACAAATCCTTGCTCTTACTTATCACCTTACTATCTTTCAGATAATTGCCTTAATTATTCACTCTACAGTCCTCGCCCACAGACAACCCACCAACCTGAAGCAAATTCTCACCAGCAACTACACACCGCACCACAGTAACTCTAACTCAGGAACTCCAATCCCTGCAACAAAGCCCGGTGTCAACTCTGCCCACATATCTACACCAACGACACCATCAAAGGACCTAACCGCATCACCCACACCATCACGGGCTCGCTCACCTGCACATCTACCAATGTAATATGCAGAGCTCGCCAAGCAGCGGCAAGCCCTGTTCGCCAGCCCGCGGAAGCACACACTGTGCATGCGCTGACCGTGCTGCGTGGCCCCGCTGGGCTAAAATCTACTTGCCACGGGTGAGTAGATTGCCTAATTTGTCGAGCCCAGGTAATATACGCCACCATGTGCCAACAATGCCCCCTGCCATGTACACTGGCCAGACTGGACAGCCCCTACGTAAAAGAATAAACAGACACAAAACAGATACCAGGAATGGTAACATCCAAAAACCTGTAGGAGAACACTTCCATCTCCCCGGTTACACAGTAGCACATTTAAAAATAGCCATCTTGCAACAAAAAAACAGACTTCAAAGAGAAACTGCTGAGCTCCAGTTCATCTGCAAATTTGACACCATCAGCTCAGGATTAAACAAAGACTGTGACTGGCTAACCAACTACAAAAGCCGCTTCTCCTCTCTTGGTGTTCACACCTCCACAGCAGCTGCTAGAAGTGGGCCTCTTCCTCCCTGACCGAATTGACCTCGTTATCTCCAGCCTTACTCTTCATTGGGACTCTTTTCTTATGCCTGAATATTTACCCCTGCCTCTGGCGTTTCCACTGCGTGCAGCCCACGAAAGCGTCTGCGCCAATAAATCTGTTAGTCTATAAGGTGCCACAGGACTCCTCGCCGTTTATGCCCGTGCTCACTGGCACTCACTGTGTCAGCCATTCCGCCGCCACCAACCTTCCTGGTGAAAACCAAAACAAAGAAGTTTCCTACACAAAACAAAGAAGTCACTAAGTACGTCCGGCACTTCCACATTCTCTGTTGTTTTTCCCTCTTCACCGTGTAATGGGCTTCCTTGACGTTGCTCTTCCTCCTGCTTCTAACATGTGCGCAGAATGTTTCCTTGTTCCCCTCATGTCTCTAGCTAGTCTGAGCTCGTTTTGTGCCTTCGCCTTTCGAATTTGGCCCCTGCATATTTATTTATATTCATCCTTTGTCATCTGGCCTAGCTTCACCTTTTTGTAGGACTCTTGAGTTCTGGATCAGTCTGGGGGCTCAGGGGGTGAGTGTGTGCGTGTGTGTGTGCACGCCCACGTTCCATTCACGCCCCCCACACGCACGGGGGTACGGAGGAAAAAGGGAAGGTGCGAAGAGGCTGCCCTGCTCCCCACATCTGCCTGCATGTGGCCAGTTTGGGGGGAGTTCGGTTCTGCTGCCTCAGGGGCTGCATTTACAGGATGTCTTGTGTCACCCCAGGACTGCCAGGGTTGTTGTAAGGGGTCAGAGACAGCGCTCCCATGCCACGTGGGGGGCTCGGCCCAATAACCGCACCTCCAAATCTAGCCCTGCTTCCAGCACCTGCCAGGTGACATCACCCCCGTCCCCGCCCCGCATCTCTCCAGAGCCACTGAGCTCCCCATATCTCTGCCCTAGTTCCATCGTAGCTGGGGGGAATGGGGTTGGGTCAGCAGCTTCAGCGGTGGTTCCCTGGTTTGCTTCCGACTCTGGAGACAGAACAATAACCAAGTGACATACCCACTGCCCCAGATATTGGAACAACAGGCCAGGAGACCCTACAATAACAATCTGTCTCCCAGAGAAGGCCCTACAATAACAAAGCACCATGCACACAGCCTCAGACCCTTCAATCATGACATGCACACAGTCCCTGATCTTGCAACAACAGGGAAGGTAACCCTATAACAACAGAGAAGACCCTACGATAACAAACCCAGATCCTACGTTAAACCGGCAGCCATCGAGAATACAGCTATAATTAGTGAGCATGAGCATGAGCGGGCCCAGATCTTGCAACAACAGACTATGAGACCCCACAACAACACAGGGGTTCCACAGAACAACAACAAAAGCACACGCAGCCTTCAGTCTCGGGACAGGCCCTACCACAACAAAGCCGCCGCGTTTGTCAGAGACTCAACAACAGCTACAGTGAAAACACACACCCCTAGCACGTTTAAGACCCACAGAAACAAAGCTGCATTTCCACACAGTCCTCACATTTGTAAGACCCTACAGTAACAAAATGACACAAAGACAGGCCCTGGTGCTCAAGCGCTTGTGAAAGACCCTACAAAAACAAAACAGTAAGCACAACAGACCCTGCAATTAAAAAGCAACACACACACAAAACCTGAGCTTTCCTGCAACCAAACCGTAACAAGCCCGCGAGCACAAGAGAGCTCACAAAACCCAAGCCACGCACAGAGCCCTGCTTCTCCCAGGAGACCCTACAAAAACAAGGTGACGGACGAGCTATGGTAATAAATCAGTCCTGCCAAGAGAGAGCCAAAACAAGCAGCCCTGCATCTCCTGAGGGACCCTACCATAACAACCCAGGCTGTGAATCCCAAACACCAAGGCCCTGATGCTCAGAGGAGAATCTCCGTCTTCCAGGCGCTGTGTGGGCCCCCTGACACACAGACACCAGCTCGCAGGGGCGGCAGCACCAGCACAGTACAAGACATAGATATATTTTAATCCAGCAAGAAAAAAAATAAAGACGAGACATCCACACCCCACAAGCCCCTCCGCCCCATATGCACCCCAACCTCCCTCCCTGGCTCTCCCAGACCCAAGTCCAGCCCCCTCGGCTCGAGGGGTCGCAGGCCAGTCGCAGATCACGTGTACAGGTCAAAATCCACCCGCTTGGAGTTGTAGAACTGGCCTTCCGAATTGTCGGCCTTGCGGCAGTAGACTCCATGCTCAAAATAGCCCTGGTTCACCCACTCCTGCAGGGGGAGAGAGAGAGGGTTACATGGGGCCCTGGGACGCGGCTCCTTGGGCAACGCAGAGGCTGGGCACCTGGGGACCCTCGCCCAGGGCTGGATACCGCCCCTCTGGGGAAGGGGTCAGACACCTGGGGAGCCAGGCCTGGCGGAGGGGGCTGGGCACCTGGGGACCCTCGCCCAGGGCTGGATACCGCCCCTCTGGGGAAGGGGTCAGACACCTGGGGAGCCAGGCCTGGCGGAGGGGGCTGGGCACACGGGGTGTTGGGAACATCACGCGCGGTGCTGGGACGTGGCCCCGCTGGGGCAGGCGGGGTACACGGGACCCCTTGCTCTGGGGCGGGGTCTCACCTGCATCTGGGTGCTGCTGAAGGGCCCATAGAGCTCTGCCCCATTCGTGTTCTCCCATTTGTACTCCCACATCACCTCCGCCAGGGGCTCGTCCCCGTCCAGGGGCTGCGTC